TTATTCGTTTCAGTCAGAAACTCATGTTGATGTTGAGATAGTTGCCGTTGAACAGAAGCATATATGCGATTATATAAAATAATCTCAAAAATTTTAGAAAACATACATAAAATAGATATGGGTATGTAATTCTCTATATATGATTTTTCACCACTTTTGTATACAGGACGTACTTTAGCTAATTTTCCAAATATCTGGAAATGTTCCAGATATCAGACATGAATTAAAAATTCTTGTTAAAGGTTTTGCTAATGCTCCTCCACAATCCCTTAACAAAAATGATGGGAGTCTTGATGAGATTCACCGTTTAATCGATGAAACCTCTCACTAAAAATTAAAGTTTGTAGCAGAATATGAGAAGAAAAAAAATCTTCACCTCTATTTTGTCCGGTAAACTCGTATACATTTTCATTTTGATGTTCTAAAAGTTATTCGAAGAATATTTCCTTTCACAGCCGTGGTCTTCAGGTTTATGCCAATGGTATGCATGAAAATCTGCAGCCCACGGCCAGAAAACCCGGAAAATAGCCTTCATACAGTTTTTAAAGTTGTTTCGAAAGTTTCATAAATCTCTGTTCTACGCCGGAAGTTATTCAAGGTCAAAAGTCACAAAAATCAGTTTTTCGCGATTATCTCGGTTTCCATAGCTCCAATGATGTTAAAATTACCTAATTATAAAACTTGTAGGGCATCAAATTTGATCGTTTTTGAGATAGAGGGCGTAGAACCCGCAGCTCTCAGTCGTACTCTCTGTAATGTCAACCGTGAATCTTAGGACCAACCACATGAAAAACAATTTGAAACCGAATTTGTCGCAAATTTAATGCTCTACAATTCAACACAAAATGTTAACATCATTAGAGCTATGAAAACCGAGATAATTGCGAAAACTGATTTTTGTCACCTTTGACCTCAAATAACTTCAGGCGCAGATAGTTGTTGGTTCACAGATGGATCAAAAACACCTTCCGGTTCTAGGGCAGATGTTTTCAGTCGCAGACCCAGAACAGAGATATCAACCTGCCTGGGTCAGTCAAATTTTATCGTATATATCGAAAAAGCAACAATAACAAACTAATGCTTCAGAAAAAAATAAATACTGAACTCCAATATACCATGTTACAAGATTTTATTTATAGATTTGTTTGAAGGTGATTGACAATGTTTCGTGATGAATTTCACTAGTTCGGACTTCCATTGTCTATTATATAAAATGATTTGAAATCCCTGAAACAAGTAAAAAAGAATAATTAAAAAGAATAGTTGAAAATAACAATTATATTAAGCAACAAATAACCTGAAATGAAATGATAGTGAAATAACCTACAA